TATTATTATTATTATTATTATTATTATTATTATTATTATTATTATTGTCGGCCGTATGCGTTACATTATTATAGAAAGCGAAAACCTTAAGCTTCAGACAAATGTTTAGGCTCTCAGTCGTGCCAGTAGATTCAGACGTAGTTTGAAAGTTCAAAGTCTGCAATAAAGGAAAAAAACACCTTCAGAAACTGGACCTCTTTCTTCTCTGTGCAGATAGTTTAAAACTAACAACTGCGATGCAGCCTATGGTCACAAAATGTACTCAGGCTAATGGGAAGTTAAGAGGTGAAATTCTGTGCGTATTCTGTTCAGAATTCGCTAAGAATGGAGTTATGGCGCCGTCTAGGTTCCATTCAATCCTCCTCTGCCAGGCAGGAGAAATTATCACTTTTATTCTTGTGATACAGTTTTCTGGAAACTTACCTTCGATTAACAACTCACCATAATTTTACATTAGACTTTTTTTCTGCATCGGTATCACAATAGACTTGTATTAATGAAGTAAAATATTTTAAAAAATGAACATATCTTTATTAAAACGTAACTACATCTAAATGAAGCTAGCCGAATCTTTTTTAGATTCCGTACGGGATATTGTGTGCTGCGTCCCAGATAAACTAACCTCGCAATACACGCAAAAAAATTGTCGGCCTTATAGTGTGATAGTAAATGCTCTGCCCGTGCTGTAGATGATGAAAGCCAGCTCCTTCCAGTAAAGATAAAGATGCAATTTTGAGGATTTGACGAGTCTCAAGACACCATCTTCTTTGCATTGGATTTCAACGCCTACACACCACTGTGACACTGCATACAACTGCATTGCCTGCAGGATTAATGCAATCAGGGCATCGCATTACTATTTTTTTATCCGGCCAGATTTGTTTTTTTTTTTTACTCAGAAACATTGTTGAGCAAATATGCACATATGGATCCAGCTAAATGACGATGTCCAGTGACAACTAACACAACGAGCTTCACAATCCGAGTTCCTGGTTATTTAGCGTTGGGCGTACTCCGGGGCCCGGCGGATTAAAACGTGAAGCTACTGTATCATTGAACTCTTCCCACTGCAATCATTTCCATTATCTCAGAAATAAAACGAAATTAGACAACGTTGTGCTGCGACATTGAACCAGACAGTCAAGCTGTGTTATTTCTTGAGTTTTCTCAAAGATACATGTTGCGGGGGCCTCAACATTTGTTATGCATCATGGAGCAGTTAACAGCTGTTTAGAAACCCCATCTCTTAGCTCCTAGAGGCAGTTTTAACATTTTTAACAGACAACTCATTTATATTATTACTTATTAGTTTGGATGCGTTCACTTACAGACTTCTAGAATGACGCTTCTTAGCTGTTTCCTGTACGTGTGAATGCTGTATGCGTGTGTCTGTACAGGCACCTTTCCATTTTTACCTCGTGCGATGTTCAGATGAAGTTCAACGCTAGTCCGAGAATGATTCAAACTGGAATGCCCTTTTCAGCAAAAATATGGAAGCAGTTAGTAAAAATTCTTATTTTAATGTGTGCGAGCTCGTCCCATTCGATTAAAATTCCTCACAGAATGATATCCTATACTTAGACTGATTCTCAGTGCTTCTGTCTAGCGTATTATCAAGGTTAAGAAACACAAGTTGTTAAGATATTGACATGTTTTTGAAAAGCAAAGTGATAGAGTACGTGACCAGTGTTCCAGATTACATAAACCATTTCTGCTGGAACCTACAGATACCTCGTTACCTGCCGATTTTTACATTCTAGATTTTGCTCCCTGCGCAATCTAGTCTATTCAAAAACTCTTAAGCTCCTAATTACTTCACGGTGATATAATGCAATTGCAGATTCATACTCGTTCTGGTCTATTTTAGGCAGTGAAATGAAAGGTGTTAGAAGTCGGGATTAATACAATAGCAGGACAAAAACAACCCTCAAATGCAGCATTTTTTAGCTAAGCAAATCACACATTTTAACTCGGATGCTTTTGATTTATTTAAATATATATTTTTAACCAACGCATAACAACCAATATCTCATTAAAAATTTACACAACTTTCCTTATGTGGTATTCGGAGACTGATGTTTTAAATGACAAACCTAATTTTACATTTTTTAAATTAATTATAGGGAAGCTTACATAACAAACATTTAAAATGAGTCTCATGGATCTTTTAAATCAAATTCTTTATGAAGTGATTTTTTAAAAAATAGGGTCCACGAGGTGGCACTGCTCGCCCAAAATTAGTTGTATCTTTTTGAAAAAAATCTATATTAAAATAGTGTTCAAACATTGTATTACATTGGAAGCATTCGGGGAAGATAGTTTTTTTTTTTGTTGTGTTTTCCTGGAATGAAGCCTAAAGATATTAGCTCTCTTAAGGAAATAGGATGCTCAGCAAAATAAACTCCAATCTGAAAAAAGGACCAAATATTCCGTTTAGTGCGATGTCTAAGATTAGGTTTCTTGAAATCCGTTAGTGTGTTACTTGCATTTTTATTTCCATCTTGCAGGCCAAATGACATAGGATGAAGGCTATTCGTAACCTGCTGATTTATATATTTTCCACCTATCTCCTGGTTATGTTTGGATTAACTGGTGCCCAAGACTTCTGGTGTTCCACTTTGGTCAAGGGGGTCATTTATGGATCTTACTCTGTAAATGAGATGTTTCCCAAGAACTTTACCAACTGTACTTGGACGTTGGAAAACCCAGATCCTACCAAATACAGCATCTACCTGAAATTTTACAAACGCGACATGAGCTGCTCGAACTACGCTCTGTTGGCTTATCAGTTTGATCATTACTCGCACGAGAAGATAAATGATCTTTTGAGGAGCAACGAGTCTATCGTGTACCTTTGCGATTCCAAGAATATCTACATATTTTTGCAGTACGACAAGAATTTTGTCCAGCTTCGCCGGGTTTATCCTTTTGATTATCCTGGAGTGACACACAAGAGAGCGGAAGATCAGAGGTCAGAGCTGGAGTTTTTGGTTTTGAACAAGGTGAGCCCCAGCCAGTTCGGCTGCCAGGTGTTATGTTCGTGGCTGGAGAACTGCCTGAAAGCGGAGAAGGGAACCGTGGAGTCGTGTGGGATAGTGTACACAAAATGCAGCTGCCCTCAGCATTTAGGAGATGGCGAGTCGGAAAATGCACTTGTGCTTAATAACGTGGTCCTGCCCTTGAACGCCCAGACTGAGGGGTGCCTCACTCCGCACCTCCGAACTGCGCAAGTTTGCAACCTTAGCGCTGAAGTGAAACGACCGTCTAAGGAGGGTAAGTGTGATTACGTTGTTATGTTCAACATCAAGTGAGAACTTAAGTCATTTTTTAATTTATATTAATACATAAGCTTTGTTTTTCTTTTTAAATATACAGAACACAATCTACTAGTATCTGAACGCAAAGTTTTATATTGCTGTTTTTCTTTCCATCTCTACTACCCTTCCTGCCGCCGAGTGTGTGCTGAGTGCTTTTGAAAAAGAAAAAATGCGTCATTGGTAGAGCAGATCTGTCGCTGAGAAGAGGAGCAGATCTCAAATTCCTCCTGTTTCCTTATACAGTGCTGTGCACAGAAACCCAATTGGAATCGAACAAGATGAATTCTTTGGTGTATACAGAAGAATGTCACGACGTCTCAGTGTGGTCTTGAAGCTATGCATCCTATTCAGTGTAGCTGGACTGATGTTGTTGCACCTCCTCAAAATGATGATGCCCGCTGTGCCTTTTGAAAGAGTTTTCTTAAAGTAATTATTTGTATAAAGGGTCATTGCGGTGCATGGCTTTTAGATCACATTAACATTATCATTTAAAATGGCAACAACAATTTAACAAGCCTCTCTCTCATGGATTTGTTGTTGTCTTATTTTAATGGCTTGTTTCTTACAGCCTTCATGCTAGAACATGAACATGAAATCTAAAAAATATGTATGCAAACTTTCTATTATAAAAGCCTTAAACAAATATACAGTATTTGATAAAAAAATATTTTTTGCCTACCAAAGATATACTGTAGAATACTCCCACTCTGTCAGAAATGTTGGAAAATAAGAGGATTTTAGACTATTATGATGCATTCTTTATTATTAGCAGTTACTCATTCTTTCTGACTATGCAGACACGTTTATTTTCTATTTCCCCCGATAAGCTCATCGTTCTCTTGCTGCTGTTGAAAAAGGGCAAGCCACCATACTGGAACAATACAACATGCCACTGACCTCCCTTCTAGAGGAAGGCACAGTACAATAGGCGGTAGGACTGGGACTAATGCTTTGTTATATAATACCAGATTTAATTAAACCATTAAGACCGAGTTTATGAGGTAGAGCCTGCGAAAAGTCCAGACCTGTCTGTCCCCACCAGCTGTGCTTTCCCCTCTAGCCTGAGAAGCTCAGGGAGTCTTTGGACATCACATTAGCATCTTCCCTCCCTTTTCATTTTGTTTTGGAGTATCCTTTAAGCTGAACCGGTCAATTTAAATTAGATTTAAAAGCACTTTATTACTTTTTATTAATTGGTTCCAAGAATTCCTTCAGAGAGACAGATGGAAATGGCGTCTCATTTAATGATGTGCACTCTTGAGTACTTGTGCTTGTATCACCTGTAACCACTTCCATGCTCTAGAATGCGGTTTAATAAGCCCAAAATGGAAGCCCACATATATATATTTTAAATTCCAGTACAATCAGCCATAGATAATAAAACACTTAATTACTTGCTGCCAAGCAATGACTCGGGAATTGTGTTTCCATTCATTTGCTCACAGTTGTGAAATTAAGGCACTCTTGGGAGTAGTTCAAGTCCTCTGATCAGATGGAACAAGGGCATCACAATTACTCAGGTTCACTTGAGCTTAGCCTCCTAAGCTTTCTCTGTATGTGTCACATTCAAATTCAGCATTTAGAGTGACTGGCAGAATGAATTATATTTTCAGAAATACCCACAGCAAACATCAATCCAGGGTTTGGAGATTTTCACTTTTTTTACAGTAGAATCATCAGATATAATCTCTTTTCATTCTGTGGTAGAGCTGGAGTTAAAGTTAACATTTTGCAGTCTTTTCCATAATGCTATCAGGGTTTTAAGAACAATCTGTCATGTGATGTGACATACAGTATGAATGTAAGTGATGTAGCTTTTGATCGTGCATTAAAACTATGTGTTGGAAAAAAAACAAAACAAGATACCTGAAGGCCTCTTTTTTATCATTTTCACTGTAAAATAACTGTAAAATAGTAATGTATTTTCTAATATGGAGTATTGTTAAAGCATTCTTGTTCATATGCTACTGGCAGCTTATGAGGTCCAACAGTAGCTTATTTATTTTATAAAGACTTTACTCCAAGCTTCTATTTTTAGCTGAAGGTTTTAAATCCTTGTTTTTATCTGGATAACCACTAGATCACCAGCAGCTGAAATGAACACTCTATCTCTTACTGCATCACAGTTTCAGCATAGAGTTTTTCTGATTAGAAGGCTGTGACTGCTAACAGTTCACAGGACTGCTGCTTGATAAAATGGTTGACTTTGATCTCTGTTAAGCATAGCAACAGAACCTGCCTTCAAAAGCCCAACAACGAGATCACCATGGGTCACTCAAGTTTTTTTGCATGTGAAATCCTTATTTAGGCAATCAAGATTTAGCCTTAAAATTTACCAATGTCTTACGAGTGTGATTTGAGTAAAAAATCAGTCACAGCCTTTTGTTTGTACTCTTGTGTTCAGCTGCAGGCGAAATGCAACACAGTGACCAGTCCAGCCAAGCGTAGTTCAGCCATTTTTCATTGCTACTTTACCTTTGAGTTCTGTATAATTTATTTTGTGTATAAATGCATATATAATATGTACTGCAATTATACAAAACTGTACTCAGTTATTATTAATAATTGTGGAGTTGCTTTCACTAACAGTAAGCATGGATTTAGTCAAACTATGACTTAATATGAAACAAAACAAATTAAATGAAATATGGGAAGTTATAAAGCAAATTAATAAAAACCTACATTACTACTGAATAAATCTACCTTGTGATGAAGATCACAAAAGCTGTTTGTTCTTGTGAAAATAGTCCATTTATTGACAGAGATGGGCCTTTATGAGAAATGAAGGCAATGCATTTCCATTTTGGACATTGGTGTCGGTGACTGGATTTTGAATAACATTAAGTTAATTAATTCCCAAGTATTCAGGATTTTTAATGGCTTTTAAAATGCATATTTTGTCACATTTTATTAAATCCATTGTGACTTTTCGTGAATTATGATCTTAAAAGGCGGAAATAATTTTAAATAAATTTATGATAAAAACACAAAATTCCCCATGAATTAATTTTTGTTATGTTAGTAAACATATTTTTTTCTTTTGAGTTTGTAGCCACAGTGTGTTTTAAATAAAGCTAAAAAACATGCTAAAAAATTTTTTTAGATAATGACTTATAGTAGCGTCTTTCAGCAGTGTGATTTGGTCTTGCAAATACCATATTGTGGAAAACTGTAATATTCAGACATGTTTTTGACTTCTTTGGCAAAGCACATGGTATACAAGCAGGGGATCTCAAGTCAATGTTAATAAACCTTTAAGCAGACACACCTACAGGTACATAGCTGTACCTTATGCTGTTGTCTCTAGCACTGCATTGCAAGAGGCAATTATTCAATTACTTGGCTTGATAGCCCAAAGGTAACCAGCTCTGACACCAGTCTGGAGTTCAGTGGAATTGACTTCTGTTTCGAATTGGTATTGATTCCTGACAGAAGGGTTTGAAGAAAAGATACTATCCTGTGATACATGATTTATTTATATAAAGTTTAATATAAAATTGAGACAAAAACCCTACTGAATTTTCAAACAAACAAAATCACCAACTCACTGAGTTGCTTTCAATATCCATAGAATTTGTATCAACACAGTGAACCCTGTCTTGCCCCAAGCAGGAGTTTATATTCAACAATTATAAAAGTGTTTGTGTAGTAATGTTTTCAGCAAGCAGATAGAGCAGAGGTGCTGCTGTTCTTGCATTATTATTTAACGCAGCTGGTGCAGAGCAGCAGTCAGAGGATCACTGTTTATTACTGCTCCCCTCAAGTTCCTCTCCGATGCTGCCCAAATGGATTTAATCATTGCTGATAGACTCTGACGATCGATGTCTTGGAGCAACCTAACAACATGACTGGCCTTGTTAGTCTGCCATCTGCAGCATTATCATTTCTCTTCTGAACATTGTTAGACCCTCGCCTGTCGCTCTGTCTCTTAAACCTGTTTGTTTTTGAGGATTACACTGCTTTATCATGCTGGATTGACATGTCACATCACATGATCAGTGCTATTTTCATTAGGGTTTTGCCAGACTCGACAGGAGGACAGGCCGTCCTTATAACATCTAATTTCTCTGGCAACGCGTGGTTTGGCCAGGAGCAGGATGGGTCTTTCCCTGAAAAGTGTTTTGTTTTAGCAGGCAATGTAAAAGTGTGAATATTTAAAATTAACACATAAACTCAAGTCCCGTATAAAACCTTTTTTTTAATTACAAGCCATGAATTATCTTTTCTATTGTGTTTTATGTATCAAGGAACTATTTCACAAGTCTTAAAACAAGACTGGTAAATGATTTTGAAGGACAGTTATGCATTATGCAGGGTTCTTCTTATTATATTTTTTTGTTCTTTTGCCTGGTTGCAACTTGTTAAAAATATAGTCTTAATGGAAAACTAAAGTGCACTGCATTGCCAAATGAAGAGTGTGATCAGATTTCTGATAGCTTGTCACATAGTATGGACGTTTCCCTATTGCGCCTTGCACAAAGTCAGGGCTTCTTTTCAGGCTATGTTTTCAACTATGGTAAGCCCATAGTTACACTGCATTAAATACAACCATATTGACTCAGAGGCCATCTTAGTTTCATTAACACATTCAGGAGAGGAGGAGGTAGTTGATATTAAACGCTTAGTGAATGGGACATTTTTTTGGGGTGATTTTCTTCTAGACTTGCCACGGATGGTTCTTTTCTCTTAAAAGAGTGACTGTTATATTACATGGCCTTTTTTACTTTTAAAATTATTAGAACAATTAATATAATACTGTATATATATTTCACATCCTGAATTTCTTGTGATTGTCTTTCTAGAGTTGTAGATGAAGGCTGAGGTTAAAGTAATTTCTCAAGGCGTTAGATTCCATTACAGCACCAGCCTTATCTTGGATGCTTTTGATTAACATGTCAGAATTACAGAACTCCATTCATTATTTAATGAATGTTGTATAACGTGTACAGAATTTAC